AGAGAGAGTGGAAAATGAAGGATTAGAGAGATTCCCACCAGAGACTAGAAGATTAAATGAAGAGGAACCTGCACCTTCTGACCTTAACTGAAACAAGGGAAGTCCTATACTGCAAAGTCATCTTAGTCAATGTAAATGGGTTTGGTTCAGATACAGTTTTTATAATTGATGTTAAATGTGAGATGAGCAGTCAGTCATGGGCGTGGGAGCCACAGCAGGAGCTTTGATGAAGCAGAAAATAAAGAACAGTTGTGGACAGGTGGCAGCTCCCTGTTAATATCATGTAATGTAGAGGTGCCTCATTATGCAGGTGGCTGGTGTGTAGGCAGCTGAAATGTGTGTCTAAGGAGAAAATACAAAACGAAATGCTCAGGGTGCTCATGCAAAGATTAACGTCTCATATTCTGTACAAACACAAAGCATGTGTGAAATATGATAAATCCTAATTTACTCTTCATGCAAACTCTCACAATACAACTGCAAATGAATGTTTTTTCTCTAGAGGGAACTGATGCTCTCACTTTGATTATAAACATAAATAGGTGTTATATGAAAGATTGGTTCATAATTCACGTGTTGGCTGATGCTCTGTCTGAGACAGGAGGGAAACACAGAGGGAGGAGAAGTTAGAGAGTCCATCACTCACCTGAGGATAAGTGAAGAAAGGAGGCAGAAAGGTTGAGGTGTGTGTCCTGCAGGTCTGTCCGGAGACGCTCAATCTGCAGAGTGAGAGAGGACTAAGGAACAAGAGATGGGATCAGAGAGAGAGAGAGAGAGAGGGAGAGAGAGAGAGAGAGAGAGAGAGAGAGGATTAGCTTCTCACCTGGCAACAGACAGAAAATCCTCTTTCTACTGTCAGTCAGCATGTCTGCCTTCCTCTCTACACATGCACTCGCACACACACATATAAAGTTTGTGGGTTCAGTCCTCAGTTCACTTTGCTAATGTTAAACTCCAGCTTCTGTAAGAGCTGCATAGAGTATGTGAGAATCACTAGCAGTGATGGTCCAGACTAAATGGCTCGAGGTCAAGGCTTGTATCATGTGTTCTCTAAAAAGTCCAGGGTCCAAAGTGAAGAATAACTTCTAAATAAATAGCAGAAATATAGCCCAAGCAATTTTGGTTCTCCAAGTTTGAAAATCTTAGGTTCAATCTTCAGGTTTTGAAGTCCAACATCAAATGAAGAATATAAGTAAGTGTATTTTTAAAGCTAAAGCACTGACACTTCATACAGAGGGTTGACCATAGTGCTCTGTTCCCTGACTCCCTGGGCCCTTTTTAATAGCTTAAATTTTCAATATATATATTGTAGGTTGGCTACATTTCCATAATTTATGATAACATGACTTTGAACCACTGACATCTTTTAGAAGTCTGATACAGAAAATTACACAATTACTGAAGTCTACATATTGAGTTTGAGAAATAAACACAAATCTGAGGGAAAAGAACAAATCACAGAGTTTATCTTCTGGTTGTGAAAATGCTAGTTAGTTTTCCTCTGAGAAATAAAAGACTGTCTCACAAAAACAATATATTTTAGTTGTATGGCTCCAAAGGAAGGAAGCTGTGAAAACATGCATAACTCTGTTTGTGGTGCGCTCGTTAGCTGTAAGACAGTGTTTCATATCCAATGTGCCAATAGGCCCATCTAGACTGATCATGTGGGTCAAGGTCCCAAGTTTATCAGCCCTGCAAGATATCAACTTCCTCAAAGTGTTACATGTGCTTTTATTGTCCTACAGCGTCACTCAGTGACATGTTTCAGTAAAGTCAGGGGGTGGGGTGAAGTGGAACCAGTTTCCCAAGGAGACATGATGATGCATGATTTTTACACAACATATTTGTACCTCTAAATTCAGGTACCCTTAAATTCAAATATCCTGATCCTTTCAGCATTTCAAGTCCAGTATTATTGGTTTTCAAGAAGCCCATGAGTTGTTGTCTTTGACTGTAAAGGGCTGAGATGTCACACTCGCAGTGTTGTGATAAACGTCAGATAACTGTCGTCCATCTGTCCCCTCAGAAACAGCGCTGGAGTTGGTTGATCTGCTATAGAAACCCCACTGGGAGACAAATACTCACAACCCTCGAGTGCCACCCTCCAGCTGGTTCCTCGACTCCAGATCACACATTAAAAACTTGGCACAGGTTGAACGATGACTTTATCACCTTGTAAACACTTGCTCAACTTGTCTGGACTTTACACCAAACCGTTTTCCCTCTCACTCCCTCTGTGTCAGTCTGGTCTGTCTCACTCTGCACTGAAAAGAGCTGTCAGTGGTTCTCACTGTAGATACTGAAACTGGATTCAACCCTGTTTTCTTTTCATATTCCATCCTCACTTTAATATCACAGCTGATTAGTTCAATCTAATGTTGACACTAATGAAGGGTAGTCTGTTCCAACATATTTGGTAACACAAGGGGCACGTTAGCTCATGATGCTCATATGCAGCTCATTCCTTTACTGAAAAATGAGGCAATGTCACTCATGACCACCGGGTGGCAGGATGGCCACAGTGCTAAATCAGATTAGGAGGCAGCAAGTGTAGAGACCTTCATGCCGTTCAAAGTCAGTTTGTCAAAAAAATGTCATCAGTGCTTTTTGATTCAGTGAAAATGACAAACAAGAATGTGCATTAACAAGCAGCAGTGAAAAATATTGTGCAAGTTTCCAGGTTTAAAGGTTCAGTGTGAAGAATTTAGTGACATCTAGTGGTGAGGTTGTATATTGCAGCTAAATACCCCTCATCTCACCCTCCAGGTCCAAACATGAAACCTGTGATAGCCTTCAGTTGACATAAAAACTCAAAAAGTGTTAAGTTTGTCCAGTTATGGGACGACTGTAAAGATATGGCGGCCTCCATAGAGGGGAACTGCTCCTTATTTAAATATATAGTATTTGAGTATAAACATTCTAGAGTAAAGAAAACAACAATTTATACACACTAGTGAAAATGTCCCAAGAATTATTTCATATTCAATTTCTGCCAATAGATCCATTCATCGTAATCTTACACACTGAACCTCTAAACAAGATTTTATATTGGATGTTGCCATATCTAGTCATTTAATACACCACCAGGTTCAAACTGTACATTTCTAAATGACTCATCATTGTAAGTTAAATATACTTTGGAGAATGTTAAATTTACAAACTGGCCTGGTTTCTGGATTTGGGTGTGTGCATGTGAGTTAATAACAGGACAACAAAAAAAGGCTAAAAATTAAAGAAATGAATAGTTCATTCTATCAATTCTAATTTCGACCTCAACACCAGATAAATTGTGAATGTTGGTGAAAAATGTTAATTTCATAGTTAAATTAGATCAAGCACAAGCTTGATTACCTTGTAAACCTTGTGTAGCCGGATGTTGGTATCAGGAGTTTGGAGTTTGAAATATCATAGTTAATATGTTGAATATGTTGATGCACCAGAGTTTGCTCTAGCTCTATAAAGTGGAGAAATTGACATGGGAATTAATAGTAAACTTAATATCTGTGAAATCATTGCACAGTGCCAACACATAAGGCATGTTGAATTTATTTCCCCTGCACCTACAAGTGGAAAATGCAAACCAATAAATAACACACAAACAAATGCACAAAAATAATATCACAATACAAACATCCAGTCTTTCTAAACCTGTGTGTAAGACAGACAAGATTCCCTACAAGCAAAGCCTGAGAACGTTTCCTCTGATCAATCTGGAGTTTTCGTTGAGGTAACTTCCAACACTGCT